TTAATGTAATTATTTATAATATTTTTATATTATATTTTTAAAAAAATTTATATTTTTTTATTTTTTAATAAATTAAAAAATATAATAATCAATTAAAATAAAAAAATATGACGTTAGTAATTAAAAATGTATCAATAATATTACCCAAATATTTTGCCCGTGCCTAAAAGGATGTTTTTAGGTGCGTGACAAACTGAAAAGTAGCATTCTTATATACATTTTCTTTTTCTTTGGAATTTTATAGATGCAAGCTTTGTAAGGAGCTAAAACAGTTTTCCTGAAAACGGTTCACTATAATATGTACACAAACTACAGGGAATGAATTAGATACCAAGCGATGTACATTCGTGTGTTAGGAACAGTTTATAGTTAAGTGAAATGTTTTCTTCTTTTTAAGTCTTATGGGAAAGTAATGAAGTTTGAAAATTATGAAAATTTGCTACAGCTCCTGTATTGCTATCTTAAACAGGAAAGCTGTATGCATTTAGCTGCTGTCACTGTTATTATTGTTGTTGTTGTTGTTGTTGTTGTTGTTGTTGTTGTAAACTGATTTGTGTACGTCCCAACCTTTTTCTTTTCACTTTATGATTTAACAATAGGTGCTTAGAGATGGGAAATGGAGCGAGCAAGAAGCTGCAATTCTGGTCCCAGGAGACATCATTAGCATCAAATTGGGAGATATCATTCCGGCAGATGCACGGCTTCTTGAAGGTGATCCGTTGAAGATTGATCAGTCTGCCCTCACTGGAGAATCACTTCCTGTGACCAAGAATCCAGGGGATGAAATCTTCTCAGGTTCAACTTGCAAACAAGGTGAAATTGAAGCTGTGGTCATTGCTACTGGTGTTCATACCTTCTTTGGAAAGGCTGCACATCTTGTGGACAGCACCAACAATGTGGGGCACTTTCAAAAAGTGCTTACTTCTATTGGGAACTTCTGCATCTGTTCGATTGCTGTTGGTATGTTGATCGAGATTATAGTGATGTATCCCATTCAGCACCGCAATTACAGAAATGGAATTGACAACCTCTTGGTTCTCTTGATTGGTGGCATTCCTATCGCTATGCCCACTGTTTTGTCTGTGACAATGGCCATTGGATCTCACAAACTGTCTCAGCAGGGTGCCATCACAAAGCGTATGACTGCAATTGAAGAAATGGCTGGTATGGATGTCCTTTGCAGTGATAAAACAGGAACACTGACCCTCAACAAGCTGACTGTTGATAGAAATTTGATTGAGGTTTTTGCAAGAGGTGTGGACAAAGATCATGTTCTCCTACTCGCTGCAAGGGCCTCTAGAATTGAGAATCAAGATGCCATTGATGGTGCAATTGTTGGAACGCTTGCTGACCCAAAGGAGGTAATTTTGTTTCTTCCTCTCCAAGTCATCCTCTCCTAGTTATTCTTTTATCATGATGGAAGGCCAAACTAGTACTAATATTGATAAATATATTTCTTCAGGCAAGAGCTGGAATTAGAGAGGTGCATTTCTTCCCATTCAATCCTGTGGACAAGAGAACTGCCTTGACTTACATAGATTCTGATGGCAACTGGCACAGATCTAGCAAAGGTGCCCCTGAGCAGGTAACCTCATTGTTACAATGTGCAATGTGCCTGAATTTTTGCATGATTGCTGGAAAGTACATTAGACTTTGCCTTAATTGATTCACTTCCATTTACAGATATTGACCCTTTGCAATGCAAGTAATGATCTTAGAAAGAAGGTTCATGCTATTATTGACAAGTTTGCTGAACGTGGGCTGCGGTCATTAGCAGTTTCTAGACAGGTTAGGTTTGGTTAGTTGGTAGTTTATTTGTTTATTTCTTTAAAGAAAATGATATTGGTGTTTTATACAACTGACCTGAATTTTTTTAAGTCTTTAAAAAGGACCCTTACTCATGCTCTTATGCTATATTTTCAGAGAGTACCTGAGAAAACAAAAGAAAGTCCTGGAGGTCCATGGGAGTTTGTTGGTCTATTATCTCTCTTTGATCCTCCAAGGCATGACAGTGCCGAAACCATCCGCAAAGCTCTCAATCTTGGTGTAAATGTTAAGATGATCACTGGTATTGAAAATATTATCAGTTTGTCTCTGGAAAATGCAAACATGTGTAGCTTCTTCATTGAGCTCTTTGCTCACCTGTATTATGTTTCTGCTGTCTAGGTGATCAGCTTGCTATTGCAAAGGAGACTGGCCGTAGACTTGGTATGGGAGTAAATATGTATCCGTCTGCTTCTTTACTTGGACAAGACAAGGATCCAAGCATAGCTTCTATTCCTGTGGAAGAGTTGATTGAGAAGGCAGATGGGTTTGCTGGAGTGTTTCCTGGTGAGTTGCTCCTTATCATCATGGTTTCTCCCAAAAAAGAAAGTTACGTCACCTGCATATGTTGTCTCAAATTGGAAAAATTTTGTTCTAAAACCTGTTTATCATCTGTTTACACAGAGCACAAATATGAAATAGTGAAGAAGTTGCAGGAGCTTAAGCACATTTGTGGAATGACTGGAGATGGTGTTAATGATGCTCCTGCTTTAAAGAAGGCAGATATTGGCATTGCTGTTGCTGATGCTACAGATGCTGCAAGAGGTGCTTCAGATATTGTTCTCACAGAACCTGGACTCAGTGTTATTATCCATGCAGTGTTGACCAGCAGGGCTATTTTCCAAAGGATGAAGAACTACACTGTTAGTTTCTCTTTTCTTTTCTTCATACCCATGTTACAGTTCTTCAGCTTTGAGCAAATATATGACTTGAAGTACTTTTGCTTTTACAGATCTATGCAGTCTCCATCACAATTCGTATTGTGGTAAGTGCTTAAGGTTGATTTCTTGTGATATGTTTTGTATTATATAACTTATAACTTACAACCAATTGATATTAACCTGTTTCCCTCTTTCGTTTTCCAACGTTGCAGTTTGGATTTTTGCTTATTGCTCTGATATGGAAGTTTGACTTCTCACCATTCATGGTTTTGATCATTGCCATTCTAAATGATGGTAAGATTTTATTTAGTTGACTTCTATATAATTTTTGCATTGAACCAGTTATCCTCTGTGCTTGAGAGGCATATATAGGATTATTGACAGTTGACACTAATTGATTGAATATGTTGTAGGAACAATTATGACAATCTCAAAAGATCGGGTAAAGCCGTCTCCAGTTCCTGACAGCTGGAGGCTAAAAGAGATTTTTGCCACTGGAGTTGTACTAGGAGGTTACTTGGCAATGATGACAGTCATATTCTTCTGGGCAATGCATAAGACAGAGTTCTTTTCGGTAGGAAATTGACATTCTCAGCATTTGCTTTAGTAAAAACATTCACAATGTGCAATTCATTATATTTGACCCGTAAAAATTCCGTCTACAAATGCAGGAAAAATTTCATGTGAAGAATATCAAGGGTAGCAAAAATGAAGAGATGGCTGCTTTATATCTGCAAGTGAGCATTGTGAGCCAGGCTCTTATTTTTGTGACCAGGTCTCGCAGCTGGTCCTATGCGGAGCGCCCTGGACTATTATTGATGTCTGCTTTCATAATTGCACAGCTGGTAGTAATCCTGTTACCTATATACCGGATCATGTGCATTATTCCAAAATGCATGCTACAAGTAGCTAACTGTTTCTGTTGTTTCAGGTTGCAACTCTGATTGCTGTATATGCTGACTGGGGATTTGCTAAAATTAAAGGAGTTGGTTGGGGATGGGCTGGTGTCGTATGGCTTTACAGTATTATTTTCTATATTCCTCTTGATTTCATCAAGTTTGCCATCCGTTATATCTTAAGTGGAAAGGCCTGGAACAACTTGCTAGAAAACAAGGTATGTCCAATTGCTAAGAAGAATCTTTTTACAAATGGAGCCATGTACCAGCTGTCTAGATTACTGAACTTAACCCTCATTACAGACTGCCTTCACCACCAAGAAAGACTATGGTAAGGAGGAGAGGGAAGCTCAATGGGCTACTGCTCAAAGGACTTTACATGGGCTTCAGCCCCCAGAAACTACCAATCTCTTCAATGAGAAGAACAGCTACAGAGAACTATCTGAGATTGCAGAGCAGGCCAAGAGGCGAGCTGAAGTTGCAAGGTAAGCAACCAATCAAATTAGCCTTCCCAAGACTCAGATAACTTCCTAGTTAGGTTTTGTAATTCAAACATGTTAGGCAGAAAACTTCCCTTCGTGGAATTAAGGACACTAAGAACCAAAATTTTCTGCTTCTACTTTTAGGCTTCGGGAGCTTCTCACTCTCAAGGGGCATGTGGAGTCAGTGGTTAAGCTGAAGGGGCTTGACATTGAGACAATCCAGCAGCATTATACAGTGTAGAAACTAACACTGTTTAACAGGGCAAAGGGCTGCAATATGCACGACATAAGAAGATGATGAAGAGAAAAGTCTTTAATTTAGTTTAAACTTTCTAGATAAGGAGAACCTGTTTATTTATGGTATAATTCTCCTGTCATGTTTACTTTTTCCTCATATGTACTTCCAAGTTAAGAAGAAAGAACTTGCATGGTTGCCTCCTGCTCCAAGCAGATGCAATGTAATGTTAATTCTCTTAATCAGTTTTCTAGTTTTAAATCATCGTTTCTCATTGTTATGGTTTATATTAGCGATAAGAGGGCTCAAACATCATTACGTTTTTGTCCGGACCGATTTCTTCTTTCCTCAAATCATAAACATGATATTTGCCACCGAAATGTTTTCAGTTTACACTGTATGCATCCAGCTTAACTTATAAAATTATTTAAATATTTTAATT